TCATGTACGTTAGATAAAAACGAACTAATATTGAACCACGTCGAACAATCGGATCGAAAACCTGTTTATTCTTCTGGGATAATCCCGGCTCTTTTAACCCAATTTTCGAAGTGAGGTAATAAGAGACGTTCTTGACTGGAGTTTAAAAGCATAATGTGGACAAATTAAAATCCAAGTTACCGTTTATACATAAACTACGCCACGTACATTTAATTGATCCGTGTGATGAAGTCAAAGGAGAATTAACTATACTGCGGACGTCTAGATCAAAACAGTTGACTCCTCATTAGTCACGTATTCATGAAATTTTTTCTCTTAGATATTTAACAGTTTCTGGTTGAGATTTATGTCATGTATTCGAATATGCCCCTTTATGTTAAAGTATCTAAATGTTCAACGAATCTCCGATGATTTTCGTTGAACGAACCATTTCAGATTTAATAGTGATCATCGTGCTATTCACCTAAAACAGTGAATTATGACTGATTTTTCGAAGAAATTTGAGACATTCAAAATCTTTGTGAAACAAACACCGAATTTGAAAATTTTGACAATATTTAACGGTCATTACGATATGATCGATGCTCCTCGTTGGCAACATTTGATAACATCTTCACTTTCTCAGTTGGCTGTTTTCAAATTTAATTTTATCTCGAAATGTTTTCGTGATGGGGTGAATACTATTTTGATAAATTTAAACAATTTCAAAGTCATTTTTGGCAGGAACAACATCATTGTATACTGAATATTCATACTTACCGAGTAAAGCATGCATTTGTACAATACCTCATATTTCACATAGGCATCGATTATCACCGATTACCTCTACCTATTGTAATAATTTACTGAACAAATCAAACACATTCAACAATGCGACAAATTTAATTATGTATTATGAAGAAGTAACAGAAAAATGTCACATCACTAACCTTACAAACTACAACTGGTAATCGAAATGAGGATAATAATGTTTTACTAAGATGTATTCACGATCTCTGAAGAAGATTGTTAATCTATCTAATTTAAAAGAATTGGCTATGTCATGGCCTCCTAAAATGGTAATGTTATCTTTATTATTACAAATATTAAAAGAGGCACCACACGTATCATCAATGAAGATTGGTTCAGATAATTTAGAATCATTGTTCAGTGGTGGTGAATTATGCAACTACCTGCATAAAATCATTAAAATATTATATATATACAGATATCAGCGTTTTTCCTTCCGTAATACTAATGTTCTTTAAAATCTTGTCAAATATTGGACAACTTAGATGATTCGTCGATGAACCATGTGGCTTACTACTCTTATTAAACAGAATATCAAACTTATCAACAATGAAAATTTATTCTGAATCATGCGAGTTTTCTGAATGTAGATTTGTCACATTGTTGAATGTGTTTGGTTTGTTACCATATTTAGGATATTCAGGATATTTAGAGTATTTGACATATTTAGGATGTTTAGGAGCTGTCAAAATGTCGTATGTGCGTGTCTGTATTAGTCCGCCATGTAAAGTTCATGGACTTGTTTGGCTGTGTATATGACTTCAACTGAATGGAGTCATATTGTTTTTTATTCCTAAAGTGTTCAACTTTCTGAAACACTCCTTACGCGATCATTCGAAGTCAAATCGCGTGAGAAAAAGTTATGAAAATTTTTTTAAATGTCTTCCATATATAGCAAACTTGTACTCGTTACAGCCACTTCAGTTTATAGCGGATATAGGTGGTTCATACTTGAGTAGCAAGAGTAGTTCGCGAGCATTCCGAAACACTACTTGATATTGAATTTCCCCCTTTTTTCCGTAGAAAACTGAGTAACAAAAATCATAGTTTTTCGAAGAAAATTAACATTTGGGGAAAAATGCTCCCTCGTGGCTTGTAAAACTTTTTTCGTATAAAAAACTGTAGAATCAGCAAATTCGGATTCAGCGTCGAGTTTTGAGCAGACTAGAGATATTTAGCTGATTTTTTGTTTCCATTTTTGAGATCCAAATTTTCCTACAACGAAAAATGATCTCGTTTAGTGAAATGCTTCGAAGCCTCCCTAAAATAGGGCCTTTTGAAAATTATCTTTTTGCTAAAATGTAGCCCGTGTCTTGCCCTTCAAAATTGCTGGATTTTTTATCACATTTGTATTTGCTAAGACACGAGTTTTAAAGTCGTACGAATACTTTCTGGCATAGGAGGGCAAACTGTCCAACTTGTTTCTCATACAACTTCGTCATTAAAAGTCGAAACGTGATGAAAGTTTTAGATTAGATAGAGTAACTCTCGAGCTTTCTTTTGATATATTTGGAAGTACAAAAATCTTTTAAATGACTGAGCAACAGTAAAAAAATGGTCGTACGAATACTCTCTGGCACAACTGTACGTAACTGCATGCCAAAAAATAAGAACAAAAAGAAAAAGAAAAAAGAAAAGAAAACAATATGCTGAGTATCCTGAATTTCCTAAACGTCCTAAATATTCTAAGTATGCTAAATATCCTAAATATGTTAAGTATCCTAAATGTCCCATAAATATCCGAAGTATTCTAAATATCCTAAGTATCCTAATTATCCTTTTCGAACTCCCTCTCACGCGGCCCCCCCCCCCCTCCTGTGAGAGGCTTATATTTCCTCTACTTATAAGTCCTTGAGAGGTTATTGTACATGTGATTTATAATACGTAGTGTATGTGCATTATACTTTTATTTCGCTCACTCTTTAAAAAAAATGACAACCTACTGAACTAAACTATTCGATTCCATATATCTACTGCATGCCAAAAGATAAGGACAAAAAGAAAAAGAAAAAAGAAAACAAAACTATAGAAAAGAGAGAACAGCATGCAACAACGTAAAATCCATGTCTACTACGCTAACCTATACATATTGAGAGTAAAGATTGTGACCAATAATCGTCAACTCCCCACCCCCAATGACACACTGACAAAATGCCCAAATATGTACTACAAAGTATTCGTGGAAGAGTCGGGGTTCTGTTCGCGGTTATGTCGTGTCGCGGCTCCTGCACTGCTATAAAAATCCTGATTATATACAAACCAATGCTGATAAATAGTGAGCTTCAACTTATCGTATACCGAAGAGAACATCAGTCAAACACGATAAGCAATGAAACTGGATATCTGTTATTGTATCACATGATGACTGTTAGCCACATACCTTCACTCAGGTTTCAAAACATGATATACAAAATACAAAACCAGGCTCACTTATTCTTCTTTTCCGGTAAACACGTTTTCGCGGAAATGTCGTGTCACGATCAAGATATACTTTGTAGAAAAACGTTCAATATGTTTTCTGTAAAGAATTTCAAGATGTATCTTTTACAAAAAAGATTGATTCTTGGTATTACAAAGCTTTCTATTTTTTTTTAAAAAATTAGTTCCAGAACTTCTTCCATAAGTTCTACGTATAAAGTCACGTTATACATCTGATGCATTACGTGGCAGTAGATCAACTGAGGGCATTCTCTGTTATATCTATCTGCTCGACTATGCACAGGCACAAAATGAAATAAAGAATAAGAAAGAAAAAGAACCTTCTCTCCTTTCCTCTACAAGAAGTAATCATTCTTTTTTCTTTCTTTTCGTGTGTCGCTAATCCATGAAATCACGTTCTGCACGTTTTTAACTACGCTTTAGTATATAATGAGATGTTGTCCATTTGTAGTGCATAAAAGCCTTAATCTAATAAAAATGAGTCTACTGTATTAGTAGTTCACTAACTTTGAACCCATTAGGGTAATATGCATTAATTCTACAATGAAAAGATTGTTTCAGCACAGACAACGTAAAAAATCATGACATTCAATAACAATTATGCTCAACCGTTTGATGAATTCGCAATTATTATAGTTGTCACTTCTGATAGTCAAACGTCGACAACTTCGGATAAACTTAAACAAGCAATAACATGCAAACTGGAATAAAATAATCAGGTTGTATAATTTATCAGAATCCACGATTCATGCTTCATTATTCTTAGCATTCGAAATTATCACTGTATACAAGCAAACAATATATGGGAGGTATATTCAAGATTAGAAGTAATTAATATACGTATTAATGGGAGTCAACATCACATTATGGAACATTACGTATTAGGATTTTTTGTTTTACATTATGACAGTAGTATTATGCTGTTATATACACTAATTTCTCATGTAAATAAAAAGCAAAACATTTCGCGTGCTCTTCGCTAAAAAGTTGTGCAGAGTCCTCTCACGAAAACGGGCGGGCTCTAACAAGGCTTTCTCGATGGTTGTCTTGGTGGTTACGCGTAGTTTTATCTTTTCATAGAGTTACATCATTTTAGGCTACCCACTTCTGAAACAAAAAAAATCGGCTTTTGAGTTAAACATGGTATATGATAGAATTAACTTCGTTTTCAATTTGAGACTACTTCCAGCTTTTCGCGATTTTTCATCGAAGACATATGACTTTTAGTTAGGCGCTTTCTGCTGCGAGTGAACTTGAGAAGCCTCGAAATTTCAATCTGATTCTATACGAAACTCTAATAAATGTTCTTCAACTGCACACCTCCGCTGAACTGCAAAATTTAGAAAGGGATGAAATTAGCTTTTTTGCATGATACAAGATATGCAAGGGAAAACAGCGGTATTAATAACGAGAAAAATACCGTTGACATACCGGTCGCACACGAGAAATACGGAAGGCATGCACTGATTTCGGTTTCAACAGATGGAGTCCGAACCGGAAGCGAACACGAAATATGCGAAGAGTCGAAAATATAGCACAACTTTGATGTTTTTATTCATTTTCTAAAGTTTTTCACTTTAATCTGTTGGTTTTTCTTAAAAAATACATGTGCTCACCTTTTAAAAGGAAAGCTGAACGTCCAAAAATTAAAATTTTGTTAATCTGGCGACTTTAATACATTTTTCTCGCTTTCCCCCTTTACAAGGAGTACTAAAAAGGTTTTTTCGCCAGCCCTTCAGACAAATATCCCAAGACTGGTTATAGTGTAGTTTTTAGAAGTACTGTCCATCAGCATCAATGCACTTGTCCATTCGAATAAACCAATCGTCGAAACAATTTTTGAAATCATCTTTTGTGAGTTGATTGTCAATGGCTTGTTCTAACGCATTCAACATTGCATTGTCGTCGTTGAATTGAATTCCCCGTAACTGATTTTTGAGTTTTGAAAACAAAATTGCCACATGTTTCGAAGTCTTGTGACAGACAGCTATTGACATACCATCTTGTAGTTACCGTCCCACCACGTTCCAATGGTATGGACTTGATTAAACCGGATATCATGAAGAAAATCCCCATCATTCGCTTGGCTTGCCTGAACTTTTGTGTCAATAAACTTTGGTTGATCATAGATCAGTTTGTGACACCCAAACTTTTGATTGCTCTTTTGTTGTTGGATCAACCATGATTCGTCAGCAGTTATAATGTCGAATACACGACGGGATTGGCCTCCTTCAAATCTTTCCATTGAATCACGACAAAATTGAATACAGAACTGTTTTTCGTCATCGGTGAGCTGATGAGGTACCCATCGAGCACAAACTTCGTGCAAGTTCGAATAATCATGAATAATTGAATTGATCGATGATGAAGTAATGCCCAGGGAGTCCTGAATCTGTTCGTATGTTGAGTGAGGATCATCTTCTATTATTGCTCTGACAGCATCAATTGTTTCGTCGTTGACAGCAGTTCGAGGATAACCGGAACGTGCAGCATCTTCAACACTTAAATTGTTGCGTTGAAATTCATGATACCAATTGAGAATTGTACGATCAGAAGGTGCTTGGTCCCTCCATGCTTGCACCAAACGTTAAGCCAATTTTCCGGTCATATAAAATCATTGTTCGAAACTGCTCACGTGAGAGTTCAAACTAATATCAAAAATTTTATATCTTTGATCTGAAAAAAACTTAAAAATACAACGACACACAAGACCTGTAAGTGAGAAATTTTGTACATAATCTTAAATATGTCTAAGTATTATAATAGAATAGTTCAACTTCAACTACGGCTTTTAGGAGAGCCGACCGAAAAAACTTTTTCAATGCATGCGATCAAGCAAGCATTAATAGATAGTGATAACCATGTTATGTCAACATCGGAAGAGGAAGTTAAACGTAGATATTCTAAAAGTTTTCAATGCAAAGTAATCTATTTTTTTCTTTTATGGATTACATTATAAAACGTAAATCAAAACGAGTGAGTTTTTTTCCTGTAAATACTGATGAAAACTTTTTGTACAAACCTTCTAGGTTATAGGTCGGACTACAACTATTGATAGCAATTCTTAATTTTGTTTTCATTAGCAATTCTGGCTCACTCAAACAATATCAGACGAATTTAGGATACAGCGACATTACCGCGAATACAAAAAACGACATTACCGCGAAGACTTGTTTGTTGGAAAAGCCGAATAAATGAGACCGGTTTTGTATTTTTTACATCATGTTTTCAAACTTAACTGACGTTATGTAGTGACTAGTCATTATCTGATACAGCCACAGATATCTAGTTTCCCATCACGATAATATGTTTTATGTGAAAATACTTTTCGAACTCACTCTCACAATGCCCTCTCCCCACTTCCCACCTCCCTTCACATGATATACAAAGTACAAAACCAGGCTCATTTATTCTTCTTTTCCAATAAACGAGTCTTCGCGGTAACGTCGTTCACTGTAATGTCGTTTTCTGTATTGGCGGTAATGTCGTTCGCGGTAACGTCGTTCGCGGTTATGTCGTTCGCCGTAATGTTGTGTCACGGATTCATTTCTAGGTGAAAGTGTGAACACTCACTTTTTTGTGATTTTACTACTGAAGGGTGATGTTTTCAAGCATACTGATGGATAATGTATCTGTGTTTTTACCATGAAACAGCCTAGGTTGCGGTCTACATTATATATCAAAAGAAAGCTCTTTCAATACTCTAATGAATAGCTGAAAGTGCGAACACTCATTTTTTCGGATATTACTACTGCAGAGTGATGTTTTCGACATCGACGGATAGGCTCGATCCATATAAAACCTACTATCATTTTTCTGCGAAAGTTTTTATTGAAAAAACACACGTAGTATAACGCAGAAAAAAAGATTCTGCGATAAAAGACAAAAAAAGCATTAGTTTTTGTTGATTTTAGCGGGAAATTGCGTTAGTGCGGCCCAAAACCGCATATTTCTGCAGAAATCTTGAAAAAAATTTGACATAGGAAGCATGTACGGCGCAATGTAATTGCACGTATTGTTCATTAAAAGCAATGATTCTACAACTCAGTCGTCTGCGAATCAAAATAGTTTAGAAGAAGAAATTTTTCAGAAATTTTAGATACTTCAAATTTTTTCAATTTTTCTTTTATAAAGAATATTTAAAAAAATTTAAAACCAGTTTTTCTTACTCGGTTCGATGTGCTCTATCTAACGATGTGTAAATATCTCAAAAAGAAATTTTTACACGAATTTTGAATTGCTGGCACCTTACAACGTTTAATAAAATGCATACAACGTTTTAATTAATTTTAATTTCTTAATAAACATTGTACAACGTTTTTATAAAATGCATTTAAATATGTTTCAAACTGAAATCCATTGAAATATAGATTTTCTTTATATTTGTTAAATGCATATGAGTGAAATGCAACTTTATTGTACAATTGCATTTTTTAACCGTTTTTTCTGCAATTCCAGTTCCAATAATGTGATCTCAAAAATGTTTTTTTCTCACATTCCTTAATGTATCTCCCACTACCGCAAGAAGTTTCAACTCGGTTACTCATCATCTGGCTGAGATATAAGAGTGGCAAATCCAAAAATCCATTTTTTTCTATTAGTCATCGATAGAAAACGAGATTTTTTAGAGACGAAAGAAGAAAATTAAAATAGACCAATAGTACGTTTTGTGCAGAATTTAATTCTCTATCCATCTATGTGACTCACTTTTGTTTTTGCTGATTTTTTTGGTTCTATTTGACGAAAACGATTTACAGACAAAGTGTAGACCCAGTTTAAAACGATCCTAGAGGGGACAAGGAACATCTTTTTTAAAAAATCAAAACGAGTAAAAGATAGAGCGTAAAAGATACTACAAAACTATCTAAAAATAGTTTTAGTAAACTTCTTTTAATTAGGCCGGAAGACCACAAAAGCTTTAATTACGCACTAACTGTAGACCCAGTTTTTCAGAATATTCTGTAAGTTAGAACTTATCGTCTAATGCAAATTATTTCTCTTTGTCGCTTTTACTATATCAAAACTAATGTGCACTGGTCTTTAATAGCAGACTGTCCTAATGGATTATGGGTAATAAACTGTCTTAATGTCTAAATCGTCAGATACAAGGATAATCTAATAGCTCAAAGTATTTGAAACAGAATTATTTTTTAAATACAATTCGAATAGATGCGTTTCCTGAATATGTTCAAATATGTTTAGAATATAAAGAAATTTGAACATATTTTTCGATAACATATATCTAAATAGGTTTATACAAAAATGTATTTAAGCTGAAAACATATTTTTCGTTCTATTTTCATTTAAGGAGTTTTATTGGACGAGGATTTTTCTGTGCACGGTTTTTTCCAGAATTATGCACGGTTTGCTGTTTTCCGTGCACTAATAAATCTTTTGACTTTTTTGTGCACGGCAAAAAGATAGAAATGTGTACGGAGATGTTTCTGTGCACGGTTTTTGAAGAACGAGGTTAATCTGTACCCTGTCGTTTGATTATTAAATTCTTTTTAGCCAAAAAAATATAGCATGTAGCTAGCCAAGCTTCTCGTTCTTGTGAAACACTAACTGTTGGAAATTTTGCAAATCCAGTTTGAATAGATTTATTTGACCATTCGATTAACATTCGCTCTATTGTTGGTAAAAATACTGATAATGATAATTATTTCTTGACGTGTATTGACTTTTTATTTTACCGTTGAGACTTTCCAAACCATGATGAACTTCCCTCTACACTAATGTTTAAGATTTATCATGCATTACAGTCAGTAAGTCTCATTTGTATTAAACGAGACGCCTGTTCGTAGATCATCCTATTTGTTTAGGTCATCGGCATGTAAAACGCAAAAATATCTTTTACTCCTTGAAAACCCGTGCACAAAAACGTCTCCGTACACATTTCTGTCTTTTTGCCGTGCAACTTTCTGTAACCGTGCACAATAAAGTCAAAAGATTTTTTAGTGCACGGAAAACAATTTTAGTGTACAAAATCCATTTAAGTGTCTTTCATATTCTTATTCCGTTGAAATGTTTTTTTTAAAGTAAGTAACTTCAGATAATTTTTTTCTTCTAAATATCTTTAAATGTATTTCCTGATAAGACGATTTAAATAGATTTCAACAACAATATCGGCTTAGAATGCCTCATTTTAAAAATTCATTTAAATGGATTTAGAATATAAGAGACATTTAAATATATTTATAAGAAATTTATTTCAACACTCGTGTTTGAAAATAACTTTAAACAAGTTTTTTAAAAAAAAATTTCTTCAAATTTCTCTTCATACAGTGAGCCGAAAAATTATTCGTTCACCCGTACACTATCATTTTGTTTGACGTTTGTAAACCACACATGCTAGAGGCTTGAGATTTCCACCATATCTAGGCTATATGTAGGTATTTCGAGTATCTAATTCCATTTTCTTTTGATTTTAAAAGAAAAATTCTTTGGTTTAAAAGGAAAAAAGGATGCCCTCTAGGAATTTGAAGTGAGGGTGAAATAATTTTTGTTAGTTAAAACATGTCGGCATTGTAGTATTTTTCTTGTAAAACCAAAATCAAAATAGAATTAAATGCTAGAAGTGGGATACCGGAATTTCATTAAAAGAAAGTTCATTAAAATTTTTAAATGAAATTCTTGTGTCATCAAAAACTCTCGGCTAGTCAGCTATCCTAGAGTATCTCCTAGACAGTCAACTACTTTTTAATGAAAGTTCCAATACTTTCATTAAAAAAAAAACGCTTTAATGAAAGTGTTTTTAATGAACGTTATCCAGTCCCTAGAAATACCTACAAATAAACTAGAAAAATTATTTCTTCGAATGTTCCGTACTGATTAGTATTCCGAGTTAGTGCTTGCTACGAAAGACTCGGACAAAGGTCGTGGGAGTCTCGGCTGTTTTCGATCTATAATAAGCCTAAATGCCATCTAAAGCATATATTTTCAAGCTTCTGGATCGTCACGGTTAGTTTCTTTTTGAAACTCGGCTAGGTAGATACTGCAAAAGAACACTGCCAAACGTGTTATCATGCGTTCAAAAAAAGATAGACGCATGAAAACGCGTTTGTGAGCATTTTTAAATAGTGTAAAAAATAACATGTCCTATTTCAGAATTGAACTGAAGATTTTTAGAATAAAATGTGCCATTTTCCAGTACAGAAAGAACAAAATCATCTAGTATTTTCGATTTTGATACAAATACTCTCTTTCGATTACCTGGTATTTTTGCGTCGTTAGTCTAATTTTTTTTCTAATTTAAAATTTTAATATTTCTCATAGTTCATCATTTTGAGTTATACTTGCATACGACATACATTGGATCATCTACATGTTTTCTACTCAATGACAACGTCGAACATACAGATGCATGTACGTGTTCTTTTTCTGCGTTTTGAGTGATGAGCGACATTTTCTACTCTATATTTGACGAAGAAAAAAATATATCAATTATCATGCTAAATTTTTTCGCTATTGAAATTTTTATACTAGATCAGAAAGATTAGTTTCTCAAAACGAATTATTTCTACTAAAAGTGTTAGAGTATAATAAACTAATGTTGTGACTTTTTTTTTCTGCAACAGGTTTATAAATAAAAAAGTACAGTAGTACGTTAAAAAAAGCTTTGGCAAAAAAATTTTAACTCGACCTTAGTTCTTAGGACTCGAAATCGCCTCTCCTTGAATGATATTATGTATAACTATGAAAAAGCCGTTCTCATTGTGATAATTTGTGCTCTTCGTATGCTTCAACTACATGGTCATCTATTTCAAAGATCAATCGTTATCGCACATTTTCAGTGTTATTTATGTAAAAAACATAATTTATGCTCTTATTCTGCGTTTTGAGTGATGAGCGACATTTTCTACTCTATATTTGACGGAGAAAAAAAAACATATCAATTATCATGTGAAGAAAAGAATGTAAAAAATGAACCACGAACATTTTATCATGTGCAAAAACAGTATGATTTATCCTTACTGTTTTTTTTTCCTATTCACTTATATTTCGATATCTATCGTCGACTGTAACGATGAATTTCTTTAATAAACTTTTTCCATTACATTTGCCCACGGTGCTATTTCTCGCTCTTTTGGCCATATGTTTAACTTTGATCGGATCATCTATCGATGGGTGGTGTGCACGTAACCAATGTAAAGGTTTATTTATGCGAAAAGAAGGATGTCTTCTAGAAACATTAACCGTTCTTACTATTATCTGTTTAATTAGTTCAATAATTACATTATTATGTCTTATTGTCATGGATTATTTAGAAAAATATAAAAATGTGACTGTTGAAAATGGAACAAGAACATTACTCTATGTTATTACTGTTCTATGTTTATGTATCGGACTCATTTTTATTGTTTTTATTTTATTAACATGGTATAAGATCACTAGTTCTACCAGTGATTATGATTATGCGATGGATAAAAGTACAATTTTTTCAACATTGTTGCCCGTTAAGATTCTAACATCTAATAGTATAACCATAAATGATTCGTTCACGAGTTCAACTACAATAGATTCATCATGGAAAAATGAGAAAACACGATCAGCTATGATGCAGATGAATTATTATGGCCCAAATTTGTTTTTTGCTGGATTCGTCTTTTTATTTCTTGCTCTTATTTTACTGGTATTCTATAGGCGT